TCCCTTCAGTCAAGAATATCTTTGGAATTGGCTGATTTTCTAATGAGATGCATTAGTTATAATGATTTCATAACATAACTGCTTTTGTATGATACCCTCAGAAAAATGCTGCAGATTCATTTGAGTGCTGGAACCATTGAAATGACTGGAATTCAAGTGAAACAAGCTACCTCCCCTTGCCAGCTTCTTAGTAGATGTTAAACTTCATTTTGTGTTGTCTCCAGATGGAATCAATTAGATCTGGCAATTGTGCTGCTGTCTATCATGGGCATCACTTTGGAAGAGATCGAGGTGAACGCTTCGCTACCAATTAACCCTACTATTATCCGAATCATGAGGGTTCTCAGGATTGCTCGAGGTGAGGCGAATAAAGCAGAATTGCCTTGTGTTTGAGGTGCAAGGTCCCCTCTAGGAGAGAGTTAAACGTTGGGAAACGCTTCTGGGGCACATCCCCATCACAATGTGCATAGTTCTGGCATCAACAGCCTATAAACAAATAAAAGAACAATGAGGGAAAATACTTGTGAGGAGCCAAAAACTTGAGCCAACTGACCATGTGTTTCTATCTTAAGAGGACTTGAAGGCTGAGAGCTTAAAAATGAAGGAGAAATAGCTGTGGCTGTAACTTCCAGAGATGCACCTGGGAAAAATATGCCAGTCAAATCAAAGTCATCTCTAGCAGGGATTAGAGAACACAAGCTCGAGTATGTTGGCTTTAAAAGACAAGCATCTAATAAATTTAATTTCCCGTGGGACTTTACATCTCACCACTTGGTGACAAAGCGTGCCTCGTCACTCAGCATCCATCTGTCCCCTCAGACTTGTAACGACACGTACCCGAGTTGGGAAGCCAGCTTCTTCAGGGCCTGATTTTTCAGAACAGGGAGGTCTCAGGGCCGAATGATGAAGACATAAAATGTGAGTGCTCAGGCCCTTAGTAAAGTACTCCCAGGTCCTCCAAAGGGCAGTGTTGTGCTCTGAGGCATAATTGCTCTGATTGCAGCCCTCATCTAAGCAAAGAAAGAACTGGAGGAGAAATTAAATGCTGCTGTGTCTCAAGGGGGAAAAAAAAAGTGTTTTTCCTTCGCATTGGATCCCTTTCAGAATTAAAAATACATGTGGTTTCCAACTGGAAATGCAACCTTCTGGAAGAGATGTGTAAATCGGCTCCTCAGTGAATCATGTATGAAAGTGGGTAGCCTATGGAAGTGGGAAAGTGGCCCCAGGGCGGGGATAGTAACTGCTCACGGTAACCAAAGGAAGGAGGAGATCGGTCCAACACAGATAAAGTGGGGAAAGGAGGAGCCAGGCAGAACAGTAACACTTTCTCCAAGCCTCAACATAGGTGATGCTGCTGTTCACGGGATTTTAATAGTATCCAAGCAACCAAGAGTGATGTAAAAAGGCCAGGGACTATAGAAGCTAATGGAGAACACTTGACATGATTTCACATTTCTCTTTCTATAATCTGTGGCTCCTGGGAGAGGGACTGAGTTTGTGCCTCCGTGCTAACGCTGCCGTTACCATATTCCGAACGTGTTTTCCGCAGTGTTGAAGTTGCTGAAGATGGCTGTAGGGATGAGAGCCCTGTTGGACACCGTGATGCAAGCGCTGCCGCAGGTAACCCACTGCCATATCAAACCAGATCTCCTCTGGCCCAGAGCTAATTTCCTATTGCAGAGGAATGCTAATCGTTTTATCTTTACTGTCATTAGAGAATCACATTTCCCTTCTGAACCACAGTCTGAGATACAGTCCTCACATTGAGGTCATTTTTCCCCTGAAGCAATTTAAGTTTTGGATTAAAGAATACAGCAAGAAACAGGTCTGGAACAAAAAAATCAATGAATGTTCTTTTTTTTGTGTTTTTTTTCCCCCATTTCTTTTTCTCTTTCCAGGTGGGGAATCTGGGTCTTCTCTTCATGTTGTTGTTTTTCATATTTGCAGCTCTTGGAGTGGAGCTGTTTGGAGACCTTGGTGAGTCTTCCCATGCCGGTGGAAGGGGTGGGAGCGGTGTGTGAGCGGGGGTCTCACGGCTGTGCTTGGTCCCGCAGAGTGCGATGACACACACCCCTGCGAGGGGCTGGGACGGCACGCCACCTTCAGAAACTTTGGGATGGCCTTTCTGACTCTTTTCCGAGTATCCACAGGAGACAACTGGAACGGGATAATGAAGGTAAGAGACCAATGGAAAATGTGTATTGCCTATAATTGCTTAATTAGAAGCTGTCCACTCTGCTCCAGACTGGTAACGATACCCAGCCAGGACGCTCACATCCTGCAGTGAACCGGTCTCTTCATTTGTGCACTGGGTAAATTCTCTAACATTTCTGTTCCCTCCTCCCAGCAATGCAATGTCTATGGTTGCAGACTCCTGGCATACTCCATAAATTCCTTTTTTTACCCTGAGAGGGTAGCTTAAAAAGAAGGGGAAAAAATGCAGGGAGTCATCTCTCAAGTAGCACAAGTTCACCTCAGTAACATGCATTGGTTTGATTTTTTTTCCTTAAAAGTCTTGTTGGTATTACTTTGGTGTTTTTTTTCCTGGGAAAACCCAGGTTTCTGAGAGAGAATCTCTCTTAGGGGAAAGCCATAAAGGCATGCTATTGTGAAAAAATCTAGTCTATGAATACACAGGGTGCTAGCTAGTCCAAAGGGATCACTTCTCTGACCATTTGTAGCCCATGGTGAGCGTTCGGTGGCCGAACTCTTAATGACAGGGTATGAACTTGAGGAAAGAGAGCCTGCAAGCCCAGCTCCTGTGGGATAGCTGATGGGTTGTAGCTGCACCCTGCTCTGCCCTGGATCTGTCTGTCTGCCACACTCTTGCGTATTTGGTCTCTAACCTAGTAAAACAGCCTTTCCTTTGGGAGCAGCAGGGTGTCGATGACTGTTGTCACACACCCCAAGGACGATTTCCTCTGAGTTTGCTTGTGGCAACTAACATAGAAAATGTAAGGTCTTACTGGCAAGTATTTTGCCATTCTAGACATCAAATTTTCCCAGTCTTCTCAGTTTTCTGCGTGAAGGGACATCCCATCGCAGCCAGATGACCAGCCAGCAGACCGAGGTCCATTCTGGAAACTCTTCACATCCCTCCATCGTTTCCCCCCTGTTTCCAGGACACGCTGCGAGACTGTGACCAGGAGTCCACCTGCTACAACACCGTCATTTCACCCATCTACTTCGTCTCCTTCGTGCTGACAGCCCAGTTTGTCCTGGTGAACGTGGTGATCGCAGTGCTCATGAAGCACTTGGAGGAGAGCAACAAGGAGGCTAAAGAGGAGGCAGAACTTGAAGCAGAACTGGAGATGGAAATGAAGACAATCACCCCCGGCCAACACAGCCCCTCGGACATCTTTGCATGGACAGGCAGCACCAGTGGAGAGAGACCTGAGAGCCCCCGAGGAAGTACCAATCCCATGCAAATCAAGGTGGATTCTCAGCTCTCATTAGTTTACCGTATGGTGAGAATCTCAGTTGGAGGGTGAAGAGGGCTTGACCTGCATATTTGCTAGGGGAGGACATGCACGAGTCGGTAATGAAGGAGTGGGTGTACCGTACGTCCAGGGCTTGTATTCCTCATCGTCTGCTGACTGATTGTTGCGTAGTGTGGGAACCGATGCTCCAAGGAATAGACCTTAGACAGGTCTCCAGACCACCTTGATGCATCTGTTTGGAGATGGAGAGCTTTGCAATTTGTTCTGGAGATGAGCCCAAGCCACCACGTTCAGAGCGAGCTCCAAATACGCTCTTCTCCACAGTTTGGGTTAGGCCCTTTCTGATAGCAAAATCATGAGCATAATATGTTTGCTTTTTCTAATGCAGACCATGAACCACAATATAAAAGAGGAATAAAACTTGGCTAATCTTTGCTTAAGTAGTAAATTTGGTTTATGTAACCTCAGCTTAAAATCCATCCCCCCAATCAAGCTTGTAAGAAAAGATTATTTTAACAATAGAATAATCCAGAGGGGACTCAAACCTGAGCTCACCAGAACTGGTGGCAAAACTCCCACCAGCAGGAGCAGTGCCGGAGCAGGGCCATGATGTGGTAGCTGCTCCCAGCTCTCTCTAAAGCACAGTTTCTGGATGAAGACTCAGTTTGAGGAAAGAGAGAGGTGAGGTCAAGATCCAGACAGGTCCTTCGGGAGGGAACTGAACTGGAATTATGAAAGAAAAATGGTCCAGCCTTTTTTTAGTCTTAGCTGATTGCAAATTGGGTTAAACTCTACACAGACCTCATTAGCTTTTATTACATCATGATTTCACAACAGCGTATCTTGGCCTCTGCCTGGGGTGGACTAATGAGTATTCTAATGCATGAAAAAGTCATTTATGATCTTTAGTCCAAGGGTGAAAAGGAGTAAATCCCTGCTTCAGCTTTGTTTCAAGCTACTGGAAGTTTCTGGTGCCATTAGGAGTCACTGATGTCTGAGTTGGAGTCCAAGGCTGCTCTTTGGCACAGGAAAAAGGCGTTCAGGGCAGTATGGGGAAATCCAGACTCACTACATCTTCTAGGAAGAAACAACACGTCCCAGCTGTTGCTGTACATGCTAAGCAGAGTACTGGCAAACTGTCCTCAGCACTATTGTCCTGCATCAGTACTCACGCTGGCAAAATGAGAAATTGCAGAATTGCAAGGCAAATGAGTGGGAAGGATACCCTCAGCTCTTCAGCCTGATAAACTGCCCTCTGTGAAGGTGGCTTTGGAAAGGGCTTATTCTAGTCATAATCTCCAGAGCATGTTTCTTGCTCTTTCACTCAAACAGAAGCCTCAAAAACCTCCAGGAGGTTTTATTCTGACTATTTATTCTCCCAGCCAAATCTTCAGGACAAATCTGATGCTTGAGCATGATAGCAGAGGAATACAATTCCCAGGACAGGACCCTGCAAGGACACGTGGTCAGCATGCTCTTTTGCTTGCCTGTTCCTCAGGATTTTTGCACTGTGTGCCGTTTGACTGTAACGACGGTCCTCATTTCATTGTATGTAGTAGGCATTCCCAACATGAAAGGTGCACCCCTTAAATTGCTCCGATGCTGCCTGCAAAAGCCAGACCGTGCTCTGTATAACCTCCCGTTGTCTGTGCTGTGGCCAGCTGGTTGGAAGTCAGCCAGGGCAACTGAGGCACCTCAACCCATGTCTGGCACATGACTTAGTGACCTGACGTGTGTCCATCCTGGGCATCTGCAGCTTTCATGGACAGGATGCTCAGCTTCTCTTGAAGTTATTTTATGTGCCCTGTGGATATGGATTTAGGTGTCAAGTATTAGGTCCTCTTGCTCAAAAGTGTGGACAATGGGTATAGAAACCTCACAGCAGTAGCGTCCTGTAGACGTTCACAGCACCAAGCATCAAGGTGCTGCTGTACCAGCCCCGTTATACAGCTCAGATCCCAGGAGTAACCGGTCGTGTTTGTTGAGAGCAAGAATTGTCCCCAAGAAGGGCCCTGAGCGGGAGCACCACAGTCCCGGGGCAGCCGGTGTTGGCCCCATCTCTAGTAATGTCTGAGAAAGCTGTCACTGCTCACCGTGATATTACTGCACTGTTCTCTCTCCTCTCCTGCCTCACCTCTCCTGTCCCGTTGTTTCTGTTACTGCCATTCTCCCTGAACATTTCCATCTCTTTTTTTTTGCCCACCCTTCTATTCTGTTTATTTTTCCCTTTGGTTTGTTGGGTTTTATACACTGTCCTTTTCTCTCTCTGTCTCTGTCCCTCACTTTCTCTCTCTTTTTGGCTCGCTCTGTCTTTCTGCATGCTATACACCACCCCTCCTAGGAAAGGCACTTGTTTGATACCATATCACTGCTGATCCAGGAATCTCTGGAAGGAGAGCTGAAGCTGATGGACAACCTGTCAGGCTCTGTGTGCCATCATTATGCCCTCCCAGCTCCTGAATATTACAACTCTGAGAACCAGGTTAATATTCCTAATTTCCTGCGAAGTCTCCATCCAAACTCGATTTGACCGAGACCTTTAATAGACAGTTGAAGTTCTTTATGTAATGTAGTCACAGGGATTTTGAAGCCTAAGTCATTTTGGCTTTTTCTGTGGGAGTTGAGATAATATCTTGGTTTATGATGTTGTTTATCAATGCAAGAGGGTAAGTACAGGCTCTGGGTTTCCCTCTTCAACACAGTAAGAAGTTTTTCACTGGGATTTTTCATGAGTGCTGTAGGGAAGATGTACAAAATCCCATCTCCATCCTTCAGTGGGGTTCTCGTATCCTTGCTCCCAGCCAGGGCTCCACAGCGATGTCAGGACAGGGCTGCAGAGCCTGGAGTAGGGTGTGAGGTTTTCCCAGAGCAGAGCCTGAGCTGGTGGGGATCATAAACTGGTGTCTACATTTTGTGCCTATGTACACTGCATGAAAATCCAGTTTCGAATGGTTTTCCTGAAGAGGCTTCTTGCAAGTGGGTCATTGTAAACTAGATCTTCATCTCTGATAAAAACTGAATTTAGAAGGCAAGGCAGCCCTTAATGATGTTCTTAAGTAATTGTGTGCTCCAGTGCTTTCTCGAACAAGGGCTGTAATACTTGTTTGAAATTAGTTCATTTACTTCTTAGAATAAAATACCTGCTTTCTCAAGCATGTTATTCTATAGAGCAAATATTTTCCCTAAATCACAGCAGTGACCATAATAATAATTCAAGCATACCTATTTTTTCCTGCAGTTGGAATTGAGTAAGTTCCATATTTCTTGATCTATTTTTTTTTTTCCTTTCTGGCTAAAAATAACAGAAATTTTCTTGTTAAATCAGTGTGCTTATTTATGAGCTCACTGACACTCCAAATTATCCAACACGATGGTTCATTAGAGGAAAGGAACAGGCTTAGGTAAAATGAAATCCTACTGCAGATCTTTATATAGCGGGGTAACCTGTCTCGCTCTGATTGCTGCGTATCGCTTCCCAGGTTGAGGGCTGCTGAGCTATAGGAAGTGGTTGCCTCTAAGAATTGCTGGAGGAAAAGAGACGGTAGTTTTGGCAGGGCAGGCAGAGGGTCAGTATGAAACTCGGTGAGAGCTGGTTGGAAATTTTTTCGTCACAACATTTTTCACCAGAAAGCGCTGCTGCAGCAAAAACATGGTTTTGTTTTGACATTTTTGTAATGAAAAAGTGTAGCGTTCCAGTTTGAAATGGCTTTTACTTTTAAAGTTGAAGCTGTTTTATCCCCCCCGTAATTAAAATCCGTATAAATCAGTTGAATGTTTCCAACAAAATGTTTTGACGGCTTCAAACTCAATTTTAGGAGAGGGGAGGCTGAACGGGGGTGATGTTTTGTTTACATTTTGGCTTTTCTGTTCGCACTATTTGTCATGTTCTCGGGCAAGTCAGGAATTTAGAGCAGCGCTGCGACTTGCTGAAAGCAACCTGATTAATGGCAGCTCCCAGCAGCGCAGCTCCATCAGGCAGGAGCTGCTGGTGTCCACCACGCTCCGGCGCAGCCCGGGCTCCGGTCGGTGGGTCCCCGTTAGGGATGACCGTCCTTGTGCTGGCAGCCTTTGCAGCGATGCTTTTTGGGGAGCCTCGTGTGAAATCAGGAGCTACTCCAAAGCCTCTCTCTTATCCGTTGCCAGTGGATGACTGTGTTGAAGGAGATATCAAGCCCAAGGTTAGATGAGAGGAGCCCGACCCTCTTACTTATCTCAGCTGAAGTTTTGAGCCTGTCAAGGTTCACTCATCGCTGGGTTTATTTCACCCCGCTGATGCCATTTCTAAGAGTGAGAAAATCCAGCCCTTTGACAACTTAAATGCAGCAGATCTGGGCCTCTGTGGTTTCTCTTGGAAGACATATTGCTGTTGAAAGACTTTTCAAGCATAGAGGATAGGAATAAAAAACGCACGGTGGGAAATGAAAAGGGAGAACCTGGGACTTGTCCAGAGCAGGAGGCCCCTGCAAGCGTGAGCCAGGTCTGCAGGCTGCCCGGTGAAGTGCTCTGCCCAGTGCCGTGGGCACCAGGCTCCGACACGCACCCGGGGTGGGAGTTTGGGGAGGGCTGAGCCTGCTCTTCAGGGCAGACATCGCTCCTCGCCGTGCCTGGCAGCAAGGACGCTGCTCTCGGGGCAATGCTGCAGTAGCCTTTTTCCCCCTTCGTCTCCAAAACCTGGATCTTTCACATCTCTTATAACAAGAGCTCTGCGTCTAGGGAGAGGGCTTCATCAATGCTTTGAGAAAGATTTTTATCAATTACCCGAATGCCTTCAGTGGGGATGCGTCCGTGCCAGACGCGTCGGTGCAGCGTCGCTGCGGCCGTGCAGCACCTATTCCCAGCTCAGCTTTGCTCGCAGCCGGGGGAGGCTGTTGGGGCCGGGGCCAGGGTGGCATTTTGGGGGCTGGAAGATGCAGGTGGTTCTTTTAGCAGGACAGTTATCGGTGCTCACCCAGCACTGGAGGCTCTTTGGCAGGCCAAGAGCCACTGAAGTCACCAGAAGGGTGTTCGCTGACCTTTCCAGACTTTGAATGAAGCCTTACATTTCTCCCTGTCCCTGATTAGCTGTTAGGAAGTTAATTACAGTCCCAAATGCCTCTCGGGGAGGGGGAGGTCCCCGGACCCTCCCTGGAGTGCAGGGAAAGGCATGCCCCATACCCCACCTGCAAAATGATTTTGGTGTTGGGGAATCTTTGCAGACTCAACCAGATGAGCTTAGAGACCAAGAAAACAGCATCATTATTGGGTCAGAACCACTTCAGAGAAGTGGGAAGATCTTGAAACCTTTTGTATTTTATCATAGCCAGGAGGATAAATATTTCTAGTATGAAAGTAATGTTACTTTTGCTTCTTCATCTAGACAGGAGAACAGCAAAATACAATGCTAGCATTAGTGTATGGTTTTAAACTCCCTCCCAGACCATTGGTAAGCATTTAAGTATGAACGTCCCACTCTTTTTTACATTTCTTTGTGATATTTAATTTCTTTAATGTTCTGTCCCTGGTAAGAATGTGCATGATGTGGCTTCTCCCACTGCAGGGATATTGCTTTAGTGTCTGGAAGTATTTAGTTTATGATACTTTTTTTTTCTTTTCCAAAAGATTTGTGTCCTGGTTTCTTATGCTTAATCATCTCTCCCTTTAGATCCCTCTAGCTGAGATGGAGGCTCTGTCTCTGGCGTCAGATATTCTCTCTGAAAAGTCCTGGTCCTTAGCTCTGACGGATGACTCTTTTCCTGATGATACTAACACACACTTACTTAATGCTCTGGAAAGCAATGTACATACACTGGTCACTGTATAGTCTGATGTTTACAGGGTTCGAAATACTGCTTCCAGCTCTCTACACCTGCCTAATGGCATTTTCACCTCAAGCCCATTTCCAGATAGCACCAGTCCTTCTCCTGAACAGGACATTGTCCTCAATGCCATTAGGTCCTGGGATGTTGTCATGCCTGTCCACAGACATGGCTCCTTGCAAGGAACAAGTATTTATTTCTGTTTTTCCTTTGGCATCTTACGTAGAAAACAATATGTTTTCTACAAGCAAAATAAATAGTAAAAAAATGCTTTGGAAAGCGTCAAGTTTGAAATTTCCTCCCCATCTGAAACAAATCAGTGATGCTGCATGGAAGAGACACCCATGAGCTAATGACTCATGTGTCCTCTGCTGAGGGGTCATCTACAACCCTTTGGTTTGTAATGGATTTTTGTCTTGATGAACACAGGCACCACAAGGCTTTTTGCATGATTGGTGCCAGACTGTTTATTTTACAAATATCAGATGGGGATCTCTCCGAGATGTTGCTTGTTTTGTGAATTCCTACTAGCAGTCATCCCGCTGAAAAAAAAAAAAAAAAATTGGACTATTTTGTGTCTTTTTGAATGAAGTAACCAGTATTTTGAACCCTGCCTTAACCATCTCCTCTTTGAAACATTAGACATTTTTAGCTGTGTAGCGGTCAAGTGCTTTCTTTCTGCTGTACAACAGACATAACTCCTTTTCCAACATTTTTGGATCGTCCTTGTTTTCTTTGTTGTTGTTCATGTACCTGCCTTTGGATGTTTGTGTTGTTGATAGATCTTCTGCCATTCTAGTCCATTGTCATCCTAATTAGCACTTATTTGGGAGCCATCTTTTAAACCGTGACGGTATTTCCCATCATGCTTCATGGCATCACGTGCAAAAGATTTTGTAAGCTCCATTTAACATTTTGTATGGCACATTTTATTTCAAAATTGGTCTGGAGAGCTGGACTGAGGAGAGGGCTCTTCTAGTGTTGAATCAGATTAGACAAACCTGTTTGACAGCATAGCGAAGTCTCAAGGGCATAGCCAAGAGAGATGGTTTTTCTCCCCCCAAAAAAGCGAAACCATGCTGAACAAAGTGTTTTGTGCATTTGTGTCAACACCAACAAAGCGTTTTGGTCAAAACAGTTTTCCAAACTCCAGAAAAACTGAAAGCTTTCATTGAAATGTTTTCTAAATGTAATATTTCTGTACTTCATTTAGACAAAGCTTTAGCTGAAAAAAATCTCAGAATGTTTTGTTTGACTCGAAATAGATTTGGGTTGGGATTTGTTTTTCGTTCACGGAAAACTCAGATTTGATTTTCAGTCAAGCCAAAACAACATGTTTTTCAAAACTACCAGTGAACCAAAAAGTCATGTGCTCCCAGTGCTCTGTTTGTGAGCTGGACTCAGAAGATCATTTTGCAGCCATTTTAAATGGTTTTCATGAAGTTCACTCATGAGATTTCCTCCAAGCTGACCAGAAAGTGGAAATGAGCCTGCTGTGGTATTGGATCCTGTCAATGAACCTAAAGGTTCATTAAAGGTTGGGTTTGGACAGGATCTTGAATCCAAATTCTTGTGTTCAGCTCCAAATGGTTTTGAATTTGAAATCTTGGGTTTCAGGCCATCTTTTCTGCTTTAAGCTAAATAATATGAAAGCTAAATAGCATAAACACTTCTCGGAAGGGGAAGGCAGGGAGGAACAGAGAGATTCCCCAAACCCAGGTGTCAGGTTTACCAGCACAGGTTTCGCTCTCCTTCCCTGAGCTATATCAGGAGACTGCAGTCTCTCTTATCTAGGCTGTATCCAGGCTATATCCAAATTGGCAGGTTCCCGAGGACTGAAACTAATGCTGCATGACAGTGCAGATCTGTTTCCTTCATTAAATTTGCAACAGTGGTCTTCCTTTTTTTTCCTTTTCTTCTTTTTTCCTCTGTTTTTTTTTCCTTTTTGCAAATTCCTTTTAATCTCATCATGTCTCTTGTGCAAATGAAATGCCATAGTGAAATTTTGTTTTTATGACTGAAGGATAAAATTGGGAAAAAATCTCACTTTTGATTGCAGAAAACCTGTAATGCACTGAGTGAAGGGAAGATTCGTCAGAAAATAAGATCTAAAGTTTTCAAAAAAAGATCAGCAATAGACTGTATCGGACTACAGTGTCACATCTTATTTCTGTGTTTTTCAATGGAGAGCTTTTAAAGATTAAATAATTCTTTCATTAGACATATCCAGGGGAATTGACTTTGCTTCCATTTTTGCTAACACTGTCCAACAAAATAACACCCAAGAATATTACTGGAATGGAGATATTTCCTTATGAAATCAGACCTGAATCCACCTCATTTGATATTGCCTCTGGTGCTGCCCATTCCAGGAGACTCTTTGGCTGTAAAAACTCCACAGTCAACATACGTACAATAACCCTCGCTTGCATTAGATCCCTTCTAATTAGAGAATGGCTTTAACCCTGAAGCAGTAGTTTAGATATCCCTTTCAATAAAATGGGTTTAGTTATTCATTAGGTGAGAAGAAAAACCAATAAAATTGAGCTAGGAGCCAGAATAGAGAATATTTTCTGTAAACTAGTTTTTGTATTCATTTTATTTCTTTTATTGTTAGCAGAGGAAACTACTCACCTTTGCAAAAGTCTGACTTGCTGATGAGGACACGTAGAGAGAGTTTTTACTGTTATTGCAGAGGATGAAGTTATGCAAAGCATGCAACCTTTGCTGGCCTTGAGGCATGATGCCTTCTTTGCATACCCCTGAAATAGTCATGGTTTATTCCTACAGTGTTGCTTCCTCCGTTTCTGTGGTCCATTCTGTGTGACAGTTTATTGATGATACCAAAGGAGGGGTATAGCTTCCTGGTAGATCCATTCGTGCAACTTGTACGTACTGACGATGTGCATGCCCATCGTGCCATACTGATTGCAATGGCTGTCGCTAGCGTTTCTGGGCACTTCTCCTCTTCCCACCCCATGATGTCTTCCCTCCTCACCTTTTTTTTCCCCGTAGGCTGTTCTCCGCTCCAAAGATGACACGCTGACTCTGTCTCCCAGCAAGGACTTGCTGAGCGTGAGAAAGCCTTCGGTGGGGCGCACCCACTCTTTGCCAAATGACAGCTACATGTTCCAGCCACCGTACTCCGGCCCCTGCCCTGCCTCCCTGGGTGAGAGGAATCCGGCACATCACAAGTCCCAGTCAGGTACACATCGGTCAGCTGGGACAAGAGCAGGGTTTTCTAATGTGGCAGTAGCTGGGATTTTCCAAGCTAATCAATAGGAGGCAGCGAATTGCCCTCGGTTTCCAGTGAGGTGTCTGTGTCCAGACCTGTGGAATGGCTTTGCAAAGTCCCTCTACGACTTGCAAAGACCCTCCACCACCTACAAAGTCCAGACTGTTAAAGATAACTCCTTTCCTCTGAGCTTTTTGGCAATGCGACAGTGAGCAGTTGGCCTGGCTCAATGCTGATCGTCCCCCTGCCTGGTTCCCCGAGGATCACAGTCCATACAGCCTGGGCTAGCTGTGGAATGGAGTGAAAATCCCAGCATAAAAATATTTCGTCGTGTCTGGTTTTTTGCAGCAGTACCTATTCTAGCAGGTTTTGGAAGCTCCATACAGGAACATCTGTGGAAGAAGGGAAAATGGTGTCTCTAAATGCCTGTAAAATGAACATAAGTGGGCTGAATTGAGAGAGATCTCAGTGTGAGAGGAATGGAAAAATGAGAGAGTGTAGAATTGTCCTTCCCAGTGTGCCTGGCTGGGATATACGGCCAGGAGCTAAATTCAGAGATATTCTTAGATACAGTGTACTGCAGATACCAAGGGCTCACTCTCTACCTGCACCTCTGTCCCTGCACTTGCAGCTGCCTCCCAGTGCTTATCAATGTGCTTTCGTTTACTCAGTCTGCTAGGGGTTACCTTCTGCTGGTAAGTGAATGTTAGCTGTCTTGAATTCTTCTGTATGCGCCATCATTTTAGACATTTGTCACAGATAAGACAGTGAAGTTTTTACAAGCATTGTCATTTGAAAGCCTCTAAGCAGAACATAATTTCAGCACTGTTCAGAATGGTAGGAGATTTGAACAGATTAGAAATAAGATGTTGAAATTTGCATAGTAATAAGAATTTGGATGAATAGCGACTGCTGAACAGCAGAAAGAAAAATGTGGACACAACGGAGGAAGATGAATCTGGAGTTGTGAGAAATCACTGCCATAATACAAAATTTTCAAGGTCAAGAGCTGTGTTTGAACAACCTGTTTGCACATAATGCAAAAGGTGCAGCTAAAATCCTGGTCAAATCACACTGAAGTCAATAGCAAAACTCCTGTTACCTTCAGCGGAGCTAGAATTTATGGCTCTCTGTAAGACCCAAGAAATTCCTTGGAGTAATCTCTGACCATACAAAAGAATTCCATTTGCTACAAAGGGGGTTTCCAGTGATGCATTTTTGACCCTTAATTTGGATGCATTTGTCCTGTCTTGCACAAAAACTGTGTCAACTTGACCCAAAAGTGGGTAGTTTCTGAGTCCCTCCTTTCTTCAAGACTGCACTTCCAGCTGGGAGAACTGAACAGCCCCATCTGACAGCCCTGGCTTGGGGTGGGTGCAGGCACTGCAGCCTTGTAAATCCACAGGAAAAACTGTTCCACGGAGATGTAGGAGCAGTATTTTGGAAAGGTAAAGCTGATGTCTTATTTATAACCACATTAAGCAATTAAACTTTTTGTGCTTTTCTCCCGCTGGTGAAATTCCAATGGTCTTAAGCGGGCCAAAGCGCTCAGAGGTGGGTAAGGTGCCCAAACCTTGGCGAACACCTCGTTGTCCTCTTCCACCTACAATGTCACTGCGTTGCAGGGGAAGTCACCCCTACCTGTTTACATTTCGTAATATTATAAAGTGCTGTGAAGACAGCAAAAGGTGTCAGGCGCCTCTAATAAATCACCACAACTAAGCCGTAATATTTCAAGCTGAGAAAGGTTTTGTTGTCAGAAACACTGGCACTTGCAGGAGGTATTTGTTTGAATACTCCTTCGTAATGGGGCTGTTGTTCTGGGAAGGATTCCAGGACAAATGAAATTCTCTGGGATGCGGTCCAGGTTAAATGAATTGTTTTGAAAAATGTTCAGCCTGTGGCGGGGGGAGCGTGCAGAGTTTCAGACCTTTTAGAAGAAGTCGCCAGCAACCACAAAGGGTCAGAGAGAGTCTGGAACTATGTATTTCCTTCTCCCGGGGTGCTATGTAAAACTAACCTTGAAAGCTGCCAGGTGCCGTTCCCTGTCGCTCCATTGCATTGGTCTCTGCATAGGCTCAGGTATGGAGCCGTCCTTTTCTGGAGTCCTTCAAAGTCAGATCCTTGCGGTGCAAAGATGTGTGGTTGCCTGCAAAGTTATTGGCCCTAAAGCAGGGATGTAGAAATTGCCAGTCCAGATGAATTTCTAGTTCCTGATCGTCTGTTCTTAACAGGAGCTAGTCGCAGTTGTATCAGGGGAAAATGCCAAGAAAAATGAAATAATAGACAATTTTGGAATGATTTATTAGTAGGTGGGAGTCTTTTCCCAATCATGGAGAGCTGGCTGCTGAATTCAGCGGTTTTGACGTGCCTGTCTGGTCCAAGGTGAAAAGGAGCAGTTTTCTCTGAAAGGTCACTGAGACAGGAACGCAGTCCCCCGGTGAAATTGTCACAGTTCTGTCTCTTCTGCTTCTTGCAAGGTTCAAAGGCGTCGGTGCAGTCACAGCCGGCGGACACCAGCTCTCTCCTGCAAATTCCAAAAGATCATTTTCAGCACATAAGAGCTCATGACCATTTGATGAGGGAGAGCAAACCCCAGGTTTCCCGGCAGATGCACTCTCCTTCTGCTGAAAGGCTGCTCCGCAGACAGGTAAGCAGACTTATGATCATGAACCTGCGGAGGTTTTATATTGTCGTGTTCCAGGTTAACCATGCTTTAAATTCAAGGAGGGATTCACAGAGAAACCTCCAGAGAACTGTAATTCTCCTACAGAAATAACAAAAAGGTTGATGGATTTTGATCTGAAAGCCATCCAGGAGTCTCCAAAGAATGTGCGTGATGAGTATCATCTCCTTTGGCAACATGCCTAAATGATCTCCACATTGTTAGCACTTGATTTTTTTCAATCCTCTTCATAAATGCAGCCAAATGCTCCCCAGAGTCTCGTTGGGGTTAAGGAACTAATTCTTAACTGCTGTGATTTTCTCTGTGCTTGAAAGGACACAGGGACTGCAGACTCCATCTCAGGCCACCCTTCCTCTGGCTCCTCTGGTTTCTTGAAAGGGGAAAACTGTTTAAAGGAAGCTGAATGTCTCGTATGCAAAACCATCGTGGAACGCATACTCTTTTTACAGTGAGAATTTAAAATTAAGATCCTTTTGAATCTCCTGTGTGCTTCTGAAAAGTTTGAGTGTATGCAAAACAGAACACTTTTTATTTTGCAGCTGGTTTAATCTCCGATTTTTGCCTGGCATTGATTTAAATCCAGATTCAACCAAAGATCTAAGAGATCTAATCAAAGATTCCAGTCTGGTTGATTGGAAGCCTAAGTTTAAATTTATCTTTTTTTTAGTAAAATACTTAAACTTGTGCTTCACTGTTACATTTTTAAGTACATTTCATTGTGCAGCTGGACCAGGACCAGAGGCATGTCTGGTTCCCAAACTCTACTTTCTTCAGTAGTTTCATGCCTGATTTTATGTGCACAAAATAGATCAGTTCTATTTTTTCAAAAGCAATTTCTTTCCTGCATGAAAACATTCCCATTTCTTTCATCTTTTAATCAACATTGACAAATTAGACAGTTGATTCATTAAGCTCTAAAAATGAATGTGAAGTACCAAGGTTAACAATTACATTAGTTTGTAATACTAAATTGACATAAGAAATTCCTCGCCTGTATTCGTTTGCGCAGGGCTGGCCAGCTACCCCAATCACTGCTAATGGGGAAACTAATTGATGTCATGATTCCAGTTCATAACCACTCTCTCTTGCTTTCTAATGAATAACAGACCCATCCTTTTGAACTGATCTATCTAGAATAAATTACCATGTTAGCCATCTTCCTCAGCCTCATTTTGTTCATATCTTTTAAGGCTTCTTTTTCTAAACGTTTTCATAGGTTTAAGTGAATTTATTCCACTCCCTCCTCTCTCTGCTCATGCAGTGACATGAGCATGCTCTTGGTGTGACATTTCAGAAAGAAAATATCTTTGGGACAGCGAGCAGATCTGGTCCACAGGCCAGACAGGTCCCTCCGAAGATTAGTGCGGTGTTGCCTTGGGCGTGCTGCCGAGCAGCTCGCAGCTCTCAACGTGGCTAAGGGGAGCAGAAGGGTTGTTCCTGGCAACAGGGCAGCATTGCCGTTACTGTTAATTGCAGTCTAGATGGGCAGGCACTGTAAAACTTAATCCTTAAAGAGGCAAAGTTCCCTTTACACCCTCAGCACTTCTGCTTGCTCAGGTACTCTCTGCTTGGCTCCTTTTCTTGCCACCACTAATTTGTTACTAGCTCATCACAATAGCCCAAACTAGCAAAGCATTTTGATTTGCAGTACCCATTTTTCCTTATTTTTACATATATTGCATGTAATTCTGATTTGTTTTCTTTTTTTCTTGTCTTTCTTTCCTTCCCTTCCCCCTTTTCCCCTCTCCTGTCCTAAATTTGTGCATAGATAAACCTTGTCCACCACATACCTGGTCCGTGCACTTTCCTCCATCGTTAAAACCTGTGTGTTTAACCCCCCTTTCCCTTCAGAGTGCTGGAGAGTGGACACAGTCCCCGCAGCAATGTGCAGTTTAGACTCCGGAAAGGTTGACAATTAGCAATGCACTTGCAGATGAAGACGCGTGGATCGGATGCTTGGAGTGAACATTCCCTGCTGAGGAATACGCTCCTTGGCAGTGCATTGCTCAAAAGCTTTTCTCCAGGGGAATTCTACCTGAAATTAAAACCGTATTGGTTTTCTGGTTCCAGGACTGTGTATCCAAGGTGTAGCCCACACCAAGCTGTGGCTGCTCCAGGTGTATACCTCAGTGGGATGGCAAAGAGTCCTTTTATTTTGAAACAAACCAGTAAAACATTTGTACAAACAGTTACTACTAATAACTACCAAAGATGCCTGTATCATAGGTAAAGAGCGAGCTGGTGGTGACTAATACTGTCAGTGTGTGCAGCACAGGTTGGTGTACAAGCAAAAGTAATGACAATAATTACTTTTTGCTTCTCTATTCTACTTTTTTGTGGTCTGTGTCTCTTCTCAGGGTATGAACATGATTTCTTCTCCCAAACACTCACGAAAACTATTGGCATTGAGGCATCCAGGATTAGCTCCACTCTCGACTGTGATTAGTTGCTGGTACTATGCTGTAAAATTTTAACTAGAAAGGATTCACCAGCATTGGACAAAGTAATTTGCCATATTAAATATTCTCTCAACTCTCACAGGCGACAAAGGGAGCCCGATGTGCAGATGTAGCAATAGACTCTTGTGTTTCTGCGCGCACACACGTGCATACTGCAGCTGATGAGAGCTTTGCCTGAATAGCGATCATTTGGCTCAAACGATCCTTGCGGGACAATTTTTATATAAATTCTAAGATCATTTTGGGGCGATTTGTCACAAAAGCATTCCTTAGTATGAGGAATTTCATCTCCTTACACTTCTCTAAAGGACTGAGACCAGCTGTACGAGTTTCCTCCAAATTTCTCTGTAAAGTTTTTAATCTTGAAGATCATTTAACAGTCTTCTCAAACTGAGACTCTGCCTTTAAGGGCCAGTTAATGTGGCTGATTTATAAATTCTTTTGACAAGGGAAGCAGTGCAGCGAAAAGACAAAGCCTTCAAAACATGCCATAGGTTCTTTCTGCCAGCAGGAACTGATGCTGCATATGGCTCAAGACAGCCAAGGCAAAATGTGCCTTAGGAAGCCTGAACCTGAGCATCAGAAGAAGTTGAAATCATTACACATTGTTATTATTATTATTAGTCCAGCTTTGGACTCCAGCTTTTCCAGCTCCGCTGCCATAAGATGGTGCAGGGGGACCACAGCCAGGCACCGGCTGTTGTCCTGATGCTGGTGCAGAGCGTGGCTGCTCTGGTGTCGCTGGCTCTGGGGATCCTGCTCCATGCCCCTAGCATCACCTGAGCTAGAGAAGGGAAAATATACAGGCTCACTTGCACGTCTTCCCTCTCCCGCTCATACCTGGGCTGCTAAAATTATAAAGGGCTTTGCTGTAGACCCTCATCCTTTGCATAACAAGATTAGGTCGAAGATTGTGTGCGGGCATTCTGATTTTGCAGCCCTCCATCCTTAAAGGGGAAAGCTAAACAGTTATGAAGAACTAAGGGCCAAATTCTGCTGTCACTTACACAGGGACAAAGCCACAGACCACTGAAGCATGGGAATTGCTAGAAGCCACAACACAGGTCATTCCAGGAGTCAGTGGGTCTGTGCTGAGGTATCTCAGCAGAGTTGAGTGCCCTGTAAATGCTGTGCCTTGCTTGTACTAACCTTTGTTTGGTCTGTCTCTCTCATCTGGCAACTCCCCTCCTCCCCGATCCCTTTGCGCTCCGATACAGATGGCTATAAGGAATGACTCTTTGGATAGCAAGGAGAATCTCCACACCGAGGTGAGTGAACTCTCTGACCCAAATGTCCCCGCTGTGCCCAAGGAGGAGTCATCGGTGGCTCTGACACCCTCAGAAGTGCAAGAGTTGGCTGCATGGAGCCGGGCAAGTGTTCGTACGCAGCAGCTTTCCCACAATCAGTATAATATTTCAAAGCAGGCACCAGCATCGTGTGCTTGTGCAGACTCATATCAGGAGACACCTGGAGATTCAATGGACCAAGAAGTATCTGAAATAAACAGCTCCTCAGAGCCTTTCGCTTCAGAAACTTGTACAGCCTCGAGTGCCTGTTCAGAGGTTCAGCCTCTCACTCCTAAGAGGAACATAGGCAATACTGGCAACGTTATGTTGAAGGACCTGAAGAAATACCACAGTGTAGACACCCAGGGTCTTCTAAAAAAACCTCCCTCTTGGTTAGATGATCAAAGGAGACATTCAATAGAAATTTGTTCAATGGAAAACAGCCCTCAGCACCATTCCACATCTAGCTCTTCTGGCTTCATAAGTCAGGTGGTAAGTGAAATGGAAGGCTTGCAAGGAACACGGCAGAAGAAAAAACTGAGCCCTCCCTGTATATCTATAGACCCACCCGATGGACAGAGTTTGCTACCTAGGGGACCTCACAGCATCTCACCTGCCGGCGGAGACATTTGCTTGAGACGGCGTGCTCCATCTTGTGAGTCCAAGGATTCGATGGATATAGGGGATTCGTTGCTTCCAGACAGTATGTCAACATCTCCTACCCCAAAGAAAGACTTGTTGACACTTCCTAGCTTTTCCTTTGATCAAACGGAAATGGACCCCTGAGTTACTTTTCTGTTGGTGCCAAATGTTTTCTTCCCTTCATGTAATAGAAAAAAAAAAAAAAAATCTAAAAGAACTCTGTATTCCAAAACGGCACTGGGTAAAAAATTTCCAAAGAAAGATTAAAGAACCAGCTGGTTAAAAGAGTGGTTAACCTATATCACGCTTACTTAAGCATATGTTCTGCTTAGGTAAAAGCAATACAATGTGCAGAAGCTATATGTATATTATATTTTATTAAATTAATTGACTCTAGTATTGCGGGATGTAGTACATTTTGTGACTAAAGACTCATTTAATTTTCTTCTATTTTATGTATCTCAGAATATTTCTGAGATAAAGTTGTTTTTTATGAATATTTTAACCTAAAAAAAATATATATTTAATCCCTTCTCTTTTTTTGTTTTGTTTTGTTTGGGTTTCATTTTGTTTTGCAAAGCACAAAATGTAGCCAATTAGTGCATTACAGAGGAAATGTATCCCACAGTCAGCAGTAAATAAGGATTATTTAATGTGATTTATTTTTCCCCTTGGACTTCAATGACATTCTGGGAAAAATATTGTTCGGGTAGTATGGAAATGCAGTGGCAGTTTTTTAACAAAATAATACTCCAATCTTGCATAAAATCAACATCCAGAGTAAAAGCAGGTGCACAAACCCAGGAAGGTACAACGTGCTGATCGATGTCTGAGGATGGTGCACGCAGAGCCGTGTAACTGTACGCAGTGCTGAATTACGAAGGGTGTTAGAGATCACCCACTGGTGACTTCCAGAATCATGTCAATGGCTGGCGTTCATACATGCCTGGGAAACGGAGGCCAGAAAAGCCTCGGAGACGTTTTCGGAGCTCCTCCTTTCTGCAGCAGGGTGGGAAGGAGAGCAAGGCCATGTTTAGGATTTGCAGTGGGTGAATTCAGTGCAGGCGTGACACAGCAGTGGGCTTAAGCACATGTTTAAAGCTAAGCTCTGGCTTAAACTGCCTTGAGGTTGGTTCTATTAAAGTAATTCTTGAAAACTGAAATCATATGCTTATGAGTTTGACAGAATCGAGGCCTACTGCAAGTTGTTTTACAGAATACGTGTACGAAAGTCTGTAGGTGCTGAGACGACTGTTGGTTTTCAGTTTAGAAAGTCAGGTGTTTCGCTATCACTGCTAGAGTGAATTTACATGACCCTGACTGTAATTTTATTTCCAATTATCAAAAGCCTTAAGCAGCAACATCATGATAAAAAGTAGATCAAAATGGAATTCATGTCCTTACTTTATAATGCGTCCTTAGTGTAAGTCATCTCAGAAATTAACTGTTTATTTCTGGGCTAAGGCCCTCTGCAAAAAGCAAGCTGTAAAACTGGACAGCACAGCCTGGAAATGACGAGCGGTTGGCCCGGTTCGACACCTCCCCGCTCTTCCCAAGACTGATGGAAACCAGGCACTAACTTCACTCAGCTTCCATGAAATCACATTAAGCTGTAGGCGAAATAAGACTCTGGAGGCATGGCTGGAAGTGTGTGAATAGTCACAGGTTGAAAACTGCGTACATGGATAAGGCTTTGCTGGCTCATGTCTTTAAACCAGTGCAAGCAGGAGGAGGATTTGTGCTAATTCTGTCAGCCGGGAGTTTGTAACTTTTTGAGAACTACTCATCTTTTCAAATCACTACAACATGTTGATGTACAGCCTTTTATCCTTTCAGAGCTTAGACTGTTACAACTCCATGTATCTGCATTAGCTTGAAGTACGCATACAAGAAGACGCTGTTTGTACCTAACAGCCCATGTGAGGTCTTAAGCTCCTTTATTTTCACTTGAGGACGTTTACTCCATAAACAATCCCTGTTGATTTACATGTCCTGGAGAAATGTAAGGGCTTGCAGCGGGAAGTCAGGCAATCAGTGCATTTGAAGTAGGAGGATTAACATTCTCTACTATTTACTGCAGTTAGACTAGTTCTTGGCTGGGACATTTTTCCCCTCTTCAACATGGGCCCATACAGAGACCGCTGTCTTTGATATGCCAGTCCAAATCCAGAGTTAAGCCTGGTTAAAGCAATGATTTCAAACAAACCTTACATCAGTTCTTCCCCCAGATCACATTTAAGGAAATAATAAAATTACAGTGCATTAAGCCTGAGAAATATTCTTAATCCCTTTTTGGTTTTACGCTCGTAATGAGCCTTAGCTTTGCCTTTCACATGTACTAAATAATTTGGGAAAATAGCTAGGCCACTAAAATTGCCAACCCTGGTTCCGTAATGATAGGAGCGTGTTTGTACAGCTTGGAGTGATACTACTCATACAGTTCCTTCCTTACAAAAAAACCCGTGCAACGCTTTAGCTTGGCATCGTGGCACAGAACGGTGACGTGATGTTAATCCAATGCTCAACTCCAAGTGTAACAGAAAGCCTAAAGGCTCCTCTGTTTTCAGTACTCGGTGTTTTGCCCACCGACAAGGTTTGTGGAAGTAACAAAAAGTTTACATCATACGTGAATATTCAGTAAAGGTTAGCCAATTAAAAAATACTCTATGATGATGCATTCAGGAAAAGGAATCCATGTAAAATAGTTTGTTTTCTAAACCGGATAAGTTTTTTCTAGATGCCCTTTTGAAAAACAAATGCAAATGTACTGCAGTGTGTGCAATAATCTTAAGATAATTTTAAATACCGTTTGGGGGGGTTTTATAGAAATTGACTTTTTTTAAGCAAAATGTACAAAATCCACAGGAATTCTGTAGAATGGTTATGTTGATAGAATTTTTTATATTTTTGTAGAAATCTATAGAGAAATTGTTACAAATCTGCGTAGCATCTTGGGAACAGAAGCAGCTCTTATCTACAAGTTTCTTTTCCTAAACCTGGAGCCAGACCTGCTGTATTACAACGTGTATAGCCTAGTTTCAGAGCCTGCGTCCAGGTTGCGTTTAGAAGTAAGCAGCTAAGCTCAAGTTCTACGATACTGCAGTGCTATTACTGTTCGAGAACTGTACCCATGCAACACGTCTACCCCCAAACCTCAGCCCCTATCGATGGTAAAATAGTCGCACGGCTCTCCAGTTCATTCAAGCACACCAGCACTTTACTACTGTGGATTTACTGTATACAGGTGGGAGGAGGATATTCTGCTATTGCCACATGGGGAAAAAGAGATTGAAGGTGTGTCTGGAAAAATGTAAATTCCATTCTTGCAGCCCCTCGCACATAGAACTGATTTTTCATAGCTCGGTTACAGGTCGTTTATACTGTAGATATTTTGGAGGAGGGCAAAGAAAACACTGTTTTTGACTTCTGTGGATTGCACTCAGCACAAGGTGTGTTGAAGGAGAAAAAAAAGGAAAAAAAAAAAAGAAAACAAAAGCATTACCACTGTAAATTAGGCTACGCCCCAGTCTCCCCTTTTCTGCCCCTTTGGCTATAATAGCCCATGTACACTATTACACAAGGTGACTAGAGTAGGCACAGTACCATTGCAAAGTCCGTAACAACATAGTATATATTATAGAACTTTGTATTTAATAGTTAATATATTGTTATACTGTATCAGGTATATAGGCCAAAACAAGGTCTTTTGGTCAGGGCAACAAAAGGTGGTATTCTTGGGGAAAACTGGGTTAAAATGTTCCTTTTTAAAAAAAGAAAAAAGACAAAAAATGAGTGTAAATCTTTACAAGTGACAAAAACAACTGTGTCCGATTAAAAGCTTTTAAAAAGAAAACAACTGTGCACTTCCCTTTTTTGCTGTTCCCGATGATGATCTGTGTCATTCACAGCGGCCAACTCTTTGGTCGAGTTTTAATCGCGAACGGTCGGAGTAGGTATCGCACAGCGGCAGCGGACGGGAAGTTGAGAGAAAGGTTGCGACGTCGGCCGTTTGTGAAGCAATTCGGCGTGAGCCCGCGAGCGAACCCGGCCCGGCGCGGCACCCGCGGGGTGCAGGTTTACCAAGGGGACCATCCGTTGTGCTCCTGCAATTGCACTCCGCTGGCAAAGGACAAGCTTGGCAAGTTCTTACCTATGAGGAGGCTGCTGGGAATGCAATGGAGAGAGCTGCAGCCAAAGGAGAGCGGAGAGTCAGGAGAAATGGGAGATTTGATCTCTCCATGAAAACGTGTTGCTGTGAAGAGGAAGATGCTGGAATTTTCCACGCATTCACAGCTTTAGGATTTCCAGCCTGAAGTACAGCAGCATCTCCATCACTTCTGCAGTCGTTCAGCTCTTTGCAGAGCAGGAGTTGGCGGGGATGGTGCCGCTCGGGAGCTGCGGACTGCGTGCTGCAGACTCCAGATGCTGCTCAGGTACCACCAGAAACATCTGAACCTGAACTCTTCAGGGTTTTTAGTGAATGAATTGTTTAACTCCTAACGTGAACAGTCTGCTCTCCTCCAGGGAGCTGCCACTGGAGCGGGGAACCAGGTGCTCGGGCTCTCTGCAGCACTGCTGCTCGGTTTGGCTTGAATGACTTGATGATTGCTCCGCAGCAGGAGGGACCCTAAAGTGATGCCCAGAGTGGTTATGTTGTCTAGAGGGTGTTTTGATAAGGGCCCTCTCATATTCTTCTCTGAGTAGAAAGCAGCAGGAAGGAAATTAGCCCTTGAACAGAGAGAAAATGTGGATCTGTGCAAAATCCCACGCAGAGCGGGACTCCAGAGGTGAGCTCTGTAATGCATCTGCGTTGTCCAGGCTGTGGGGCCAACCCTACCAGGCTGGAACCACTGAAGCACCTTCACCCCTCCGAGGCCAGAGCATCCACGTGGCATTAAGGTAAGCCGGGCTGAGCCAAGAAAGCGGAGCAGTTCACAGGTTCAAGCACTTCACACCTCTCTGCACACAGGTGGGTTTAGCCCTGTGGTAGTTTCTTAAAAGGGAGGGCAAATCCCCCTGTTTCCTATGCTGGGCTTTAGAAGAGCTTGGAATTGTTTTTCTGCTCTGTTTTGTGAGTGTTCCTGTATGAAGATCATTTGCTGCGATATTGCTTGTGGTTTTTAAAGCTCCCACCCAGGCTGGCT